TCCACCACACCCTTATTAACAGGGCAAGATGGGCTTATGGTTTTGTGGGATTTAAGCGAAACTTACACGTCTTATGTCTTCCATCCATGCAGAACAAAGTGTAGCGTGTTTCATCCATTCGTCTCTAGTTCTCGGGTGTCCTCTGACGTTTCTTCCGTACCTCTGAAAAACAATACTGACATTTCGGTCAGAAATAAGAGGTTTTGTCATAGGCATCTGAAAACGTATTTTCCTCCTCTGCAATTTCCTGCGAATGGTTTGTGACTAAATCAATTGGGAATAACCTTGGTTGCAAGTTTTTGTTAGCTGTAGCACAGTAGACCCTTCTCTCTGTCCTGCAATTCGTCTAAGACAAGACCGATCATGGTCTTGGTTAATTGTGTTCGAACTACAGTTACGTCCTCTAGACAAGTTATGTTGATTCAGTTCCAATTTTTCAGAACCTTTGACACGGCTGCTTTTAAGAATCCAATGAGCTCTACGGTCTTAACAATCGTGACTCCTGCTAATCGGGAGCCAATAATAAGTCCTTTTTCAAGTGAAGAGAGATTTGTCGTTTTTCCAATTATAATGCGTTTATCATGAAAACAGCTTCACTACCTAACTGATGGTACCAGGATTCTGATTAAACCATCATCCTGATGAAGTTTTATTCACTTCATAAAAAGAGTTTCTACACTTCATCGCTAGCAACAATTTAATAGGAAATTTCACAGATTTCTAAATCATTGGCCAGTGTGTGTACTAATTTAAGCAGTTTAAGTAGAATTAAGAAACAAACTTTTTTATACGTTTTACTGAAAAATAGCATCAAAAATTTAATTTTTCAAAAACACTCATACATCTTTGTTCTTCAGCAGTGTATATGCATAAAATAATATCTCCTAGTAAAATTATTAAATGATATAATTAAGAAAGATTTAAAAAAATCAAATTTTTTTTAATAAAAGTATTTATTTACTTGTGATAAATTATATTACTTTGAAATTAGTAGACTTTGAAGGCAGTTTCAAATCAAAATTTTAAATTAGATTATATCAGAAATTTGGTGGACTATGTCAAAATCTGGGCTCATCAAAACGCATTCTATAAATTTTTCAAATAAATAAATAATGTAAAAGTAAAGTTTTTAAATGAGAAGCATTTCTCACCCAAATTTCCAAACCAGCTTATGCTCTTTTTTCTAACCGATCCAATATTTTCTTAATTAATCATATTTTTATTCCTTAAATGTTCGTGATAATATGAATATTAATTAAACTAGTGAAAACGTGATTTTTTTTCAAGTATTTTAAATTTTTAAACGAATGTCAAGTAAGAGTGTCTAGACGCATATTTGTTAGGCGTCACAGTGACGCAGCGCGACCTGACCTTTACAAGGCCATACACCAATTTACTCTGAATTTTAAATACATTGTTTGAGGAAAATATATTTATATTTATAAATACTAATCTAAGGTCAATTACACCTAAAAATTTCTTGGTGTTAGAGATGATCTGAAGACAGGTGACACCTAGCATACCGACAGACGCCCAAGCAACACTAATGCTTAAAACTAAAAATATGGAATGTCGGTTGTTCGACGATAGATTAAGAAGGAAAAAAAGAACGTGACGACACTTATAAGTTCAATTTCGCCCACACGTCTTCAAGTGCGAGATTTGGACAATGAGCGAGGCGTATATACTAATTACTTACTAAGATTGAGCACCTAAAGTTTTTAGTTAACTGTTTTAGTTTTCCTAGAGAATTAATTCAAGTATACAGAGATTTTAGTAATAAGTTTCTTTGATTTTTTTCTAACCGATGTAGAAAATATGAAGCTTCTGAAATAACAATTATATTTCTTAAAATAATTTATTCCTATGTAACGGCTGTAAAAAATCTGAAGCCTTTGCGTCTGAAATAACAGTTATTTTCCTTAAAATAATTGATTCTTTTCTAATGGCTGTGTAAAAAATATGAAGCCTCTGTGTCTGAAATAATTCTTTTTCTTAAAATAATTGATTCCTCTCTAAAGGCCGTAGAAAACATGAAGCCTCTGCATCTGAAATAACAATTATTTTTTTTAAACATAATTGATTCCTTTCTAACGACTGTAGAAAATATGATGCCTCTGCGTTAATTAGAAATTATCATGGTTACATAAACAAAAAATACAGAACCTGACTAGTATCCATTGATGCATATGACATTGCTATTTACACAGACAGTGTATAGTTTCATACATGCATAATCACACTGAATTGAATAAAACCAAACGCGTGTCAATAGGAATAACATTCAGAATTATTAAAAAAATGAAAACTATACTTCAAAATTCAAAATTATGTTTATGTATAAGTATTTGGATTGAAATTCCCAAGTTAATTTTAAGTACTGATGACATATTTCTTTTAAATAGCTATGCATTTTTAAAATTTCCCATATCGGTCAATTTAAAACAAACTATAAAATAAATTAATTTTCGAATCAATAAAAAAATGAATAGCATCTGCTGATTTCAAAATATAAAACTAGAAAAAGAAAACATAAAATTCAAAACACCGAAGTAGAAAATCCAGGAATTCTTCCCAATAACTAATTAATTTTTTTATCGAGTTGCATACACAAAACTTTTACTGATATTGAAAATATTAATTAAAGGGGAGAGAAAAATGGATTAAATATGCCATAAACAATGCAATGTATGATTGATTGCAAATTAGTAGTGAAATTTCCAATATAAACATTTTTCATTTTGAAATGCTAAAAACAATCAACTTCAAATAAGGATCAATTATTTTACTTCAATTTTCTTCTCATTATTTAAATTTATAATGAAACTTTTCGCAATAAAATAGAGCATACTCTTTTGAGTTGAAATTAATTTACACTTGTTTTGGTAATATTCCAAATACGAGTAAAAGGTTTAGTGAAATTATTGCTAAATTTTAAATTAATTTTTCCAATCTATATTCCCGTGTTTTACTGTCAATATTTTTTTTTTTACTGCATTCATTTTATCCTGTTTTATACAACACCCAAACTTCTAGGCAATTTTGAGTATGCATAATTAAGTATATTTTTCCGTCTTATTTAAATTTGTAGTTGGAACTAAATATTATTTACGTTTGGTATTGAATATTTTAGTAGTTTATAAGCGAAATATTTCGGATAGTTCGCACTGTATTACACAATTTATATAGACATTGCTTCAATTTGACTAAAATTGCAGCTTAGGCATAGTAAAAAACTAAATGTGCTATCATATAAAATTCATAATGCGCGTTGGTATACTTTTGAAGGGATTTGGGCAATATAATGGTAAGTCACGTTTTAAAATTGTTCAATTTTTTAGTATTAAAAAAAAAAAAAAAAAAAAAAAAAAAAAAAAAAAAAAAAAAAANAAAAAAAAAAAAAAAAAAAAAAAAGGGAAAGAAAGGAAAGTGAAAACGAAGGAAAAAAACGTGATTCAGCAAAATATTTCTGTGCAATGTACTGTTATCTAGAGAAAAAGTCGAAATTTTTTAAAGTGTCTATCTGGAAACAGTACTTAGGAACAGTTAGATGGAGAGAATAAATTTCACTTTTGAGAAAAACATATCTAAGATCCTTTCAAAAAGAGCGAATATGCTTTGATATTATTTTCGTAATATGCTATCCACTTTTCTCCTGCATTGCTACACAAAATTCATATAAAAAGACAAAAAGTTATAACAAAATGCCAAGACTAACTTCACTCGATTGCCCATCGAAAGTTTTCTTCTCTGCCATCTTCAAGACATAAATGAAATTACCTTTACATTTTTGCATATTTTCATATCTGTGTAAATTTATCCATCATAGAATAAACATGGATCTAAGATATAGAATTTATAAAATAATTAGCCTATATCCCTGGCTAAAAAGTATTTCATTTTTGTCAATCAAAAAACGAAAAAAGAAAGATGCGTCATGTCGAAAGACGTAGGTAAACGAGGATGGTGGTGGAAGTTCGTTACGAAAGTGATGCGTCCTTTGTTTTCGTTTTAGATCTGACACAAAGAACATTATTTTTTTCCTTTTCAGTTTTCCTTAAAAGCTTATTTTATTTTTAAAAAATTCGTTTTATTTTATTAATTTCTTCTTCTTAGTTTTAGGTTTGTTAATTTGTTTATGATGAAAAGGGGTTGGTATTTCAATTGGCGATATATTTTGCTCGTGTCACTCAGGAAAAAATTTTGTTAAACCTGAATTGACATCAGAAACAGAACTCCAGTTGTAATTTGGGCACTCTATGAGTCGGGTCAGTAGGGCGCTGGGCCCATATCCAAGAGGTCGTGGGCTCGATCCTCGCCGGCCGAAGACTCCCCGTGTAGTAAATGGTGACTGATGCACGTTAAATCTGCCGAGTCTCAAAGTCCTCCATGTTCCCACAACAAATCAATACCTCTGGGGGTACTGATCCAGGAGTTTCCTTGTCTTCTGGATTGGTTCAAAATTACAAGGCTACGGAGTTGAACGTAAGTAGTCGTAAACCCACGAAATTGGGTCGGCTGTTCAACGACGGTTATAAAATAAAAACTCTATGAGTCGGAAAATGGTCGAAATTTTAATTGGAGATAAAATAAAATGCGCTTTCAGTGGTTAGGAAACGATTGAAACTTGCATTGAAGTTCCAGCATGTAGCTCCAGTTCAGTTTTGAACACTTTAACCTGTTGAAAAACGGTCCATTTGGATTGAGAATAATTTCATTTTGCTTATAATATGGCGATAAAATTTAATCGTAGAGGCCAGGAAACGATACTTACATTGTCTTCAGCACAGTACCAATTTGAATGTGTGTGCTCCAACTAGTCAAAATTTCATTTACAAAATTCCAATCTCAAGCGGGTTTATAAAAACGTAGTAAATGTACTAAATTTCGTGTTCTATATTTATCAGTGATCAAGATTAAAATAAGTTTCAAGGTTTGGACGGTGGTGTATTAATAATGTGTGTTTCAATCGATAAAATTTCAAGAAGAATTGTTCTTACCGCTGCATCTCCCACGGCGACTAAATTCCACGGGATGTCCCTGGCATTTGGCTTTCTCGATTTCACACCGGGAGTCGTACGTCCGACCGTCAGTGCCGCACACCGGAACAATTTCAGAATCACAGTCTATATCACAGTCTGATGAGGTACCTTCAGATGCCAATGGAAACTGTAATAAAGCACAACACACAATAGTTTAAAAAGCTAAATTGTATAAAATATCCTCAAGATCTTAAATCTTTCCTTTAAATTTAACTTTTTAAATTACTGCTCTTTAGAGTTAGCACACAATTTTAAAAAGTTAAGCATACAGCAACAGCAAAATCTGAGCAAATTCATATCGACTAAATTTTTATTTTATTTATTCTTTCAAAAAGTTGAGAAGCATGGAAAAAATTACAGAATAATAAAAAAAGAGAAAAATAAAATTATTTAAAAAAAATAATAAAAATCAGGGAAAAAAATTATATAATCTCTTCATCAATTCACACGATTATATCAACAAAAAGGAGTGCTTTCTAATATTTTATAAATCTATCCAAAGCAAAATATATCAATACAATAGTGTGAGGAGCACTCAAAAAAATTTTATTTTTATTTTAATACTAGCCGCAAAGGCGGCCAGCTGTCCGCCACGCTAAAGGTTTCCACAAATAAAGTTTTTTAAAACATAGCAGGAAATCTGAAGATTAGTGGACNACAAAAGAATTCGCAGAAAGGCTTAATTTTCCCACTGCTCCCGACGAATTTATAGAGTTATTTTACACCCTTCTTTCTTGGTCCGCTTAACTTCTTCCTTGAACTTACTCCAGGCAGGCGCAAAGTACTTTACTGCCCGATTGGAGATTGCGTCGTAGTGATGTTTTAACGCGGATGGAAGAGTTCGAACTGACGTAGACGGTTGCAAAATCCTTCTAAGTAGAGAGATTTTGCAGTCTCACTCTTTTACGTCCGGTTAACTTCTTCTTTCCACTTAACTTCTATGTGAATGTTTCTTTTAATTTTTGTTGATCTTCGAAGCCAGAAAGGAGGTTTAGCCAGTCTGTTACGTGGCAAACTGTGCTTGTTTGTGCACGCGTTAGGAGTTAGCACGCCTTAGAACCAGCCTTAGTTTAAATTTAGAACAAGGTTAAAGCAAAACATTTACAATTTGATTTGGACTTTGTCAACAGTTAATTTTGATACGTCATTAAATGAGAAGATCGGTCTTATTCCATTGCAAAATCTCTCTATATAGAGAGAAAATTTTTAAACCATTTTGTATTCTGTTCGCTTCAATTTTTCAGATTAACTAGATTCATATTGCACAATCGCGAAGTAAGAAGAGAATGGTCGGAGATTGTCCAATTGTGATTAATTTTTACGAAAGGGCTAGGTTAAATGGACTCAAGGGGATGAAAACTGCTTTCTTCTAAAATAACTTAATATTACCTCTAACTTAAGTGGAAGTTCTTTAACTTTTCCATAAGAGAGAATGAGAGCCTCACGTGTTTGGTTTGACTTAACAAGCAAGATGGTGATGTACTTATCAATATTAGCTATCAGTTGCTATGATATATTACTAGTCTTATAATCTTAATTAAACAGTTATCTACCAGTGCAGAAAAAAGAACAATAATGCTTGCAATTAGCTAGTATAATTGCAAAAGACTTTTTCAATTGACAAAACATCTTAAAATGTTGCATGTTTTTCCATTTGACGGCAAAGTGTCAATTCATATAGCACAAATGAGAATAAAATGATGATAGTCTATACTATATCAGAGAATGAATAAGAGAAAATACAACTCTTTTATTCCCAGACTGTCTTTGAATGAAGACTAGATTTTAGTAATGATACACAAGAGTCTCTTTTGACTCTTTTTCGGACTGGAAAGATTCCCAACTATCGATCTTTCCTCACTTAAAAGAACATCATGGAAATCCCTTTTCATTCCAAAACGAAGGGGGTGGATGGAGCAGAAAGCGAAAATAAAAATAAAAAAAAGCTCAGAATCGTGCTTCCGTGCCATCCTCTCAGAAATCCGATCTTCTTTGAATAAAGTAAGAAGTCTGGCGTCTCTAAAAGTAATCCGAACTCTCCAAGATTTGGTTTGTCCGGCAGGCCGGATATTTGTACCCATTTGGGATGAAGCAATGATATGTTTTGGTGAAACTCTAGAAAGATGCTGCTCTTGATGTTAGTTGGTAAACATGACTTATTTTCAGATAAGCTCTCTCAACCGAAGCAATTCATAAGTTGAAAGAACGAAACGCATTAGCTGTGGAGAGCATAAAAAACGATATGATTCCGTCTCCATTTCAAATGTCAAACAAATAATGGCATTGACAAACAAAAAACATATGAAATACTAAAAATGCCAGGATCGAAAACAGTGTCGTAAACACATTTATTTAATTCTTTTTTTAGAGGTATTTGAACTTAATTCCAGTAAGTTTTTTTTAATACATTAATTCATATCATATAAGTTGGAGTTTCTTGAACTATAGGTCCTGACCCTAGATGCAGAAGCGAAAAACATGAACAGTAAAGTTATTCTACACTTTAAAAAAGTAATAAATTAAAAATCAGTTAGTTCCCACAGCTTAGTCGCCGGAATTTCTCCGATTCTTTAGATATACAGCGCGTTCAGTAATAACCTCCAGTAATATATGATAATTTTCAAATTGCTCTTCAAAAAAAGAAGATAAAATTAAGTCAAGTGTGCATAAAGATTGGAAGTCACAAATCAATATTTAAGCGAAAAAGAAATAGAAGCATCATCAAAATTTGTTAAATAACTAGTGAAAAGAGCGGGATGTAAAACGTCAAAGCCAATTTGATTGCCTGATGAAAATTGGAAATATTTCGGATGGTCTTCTTTAAACTCTTCCTCGGGTAATTAAACCTGTTTCTTCAGCTGATCATATAGATTTTAATATTTTTAATCCCGCTTCTTTCATTTGTGATTCGACAGATTTCGAGAGCGTTTTTATTTATTTCTCACTGAAAATATTGAATTGTGGTGCTACCAATGTGCGTATATTTTTTAACCAAATTTTTGACAACGATTCTAAAAATATCGATACATTATGGGTGGTCATTACGGAGCATTAGCTTAAAAACTTTGATTTTAAACTTCGATTTTGCCGTTTGTAAGCAAAAATGTTTCCTTTTTGTTCGGATAAAATCAGCGAAATTTTTCTGTGGGACTTCACAAAATTTGCTTTTATCATTTAAATTTTAAATACGTACATATTTTTCAATAAATATTTTTATCGAACGTTTTATTCGTGGTCAAATACTAAATTTTTAAACAGAACTTGTTTTCTATATTTAAATTAAGAAAGAGAAAAATGGAAAAACCATGTGCGAAAATCGTGTTTGAGGAAAATTCGAATCAGCACATATTTTTACAAATGTAATAACATCGTCTACATTGATAAAAAAAAAGAAGCTATCATTATCAGCAGTTGCGTAAAAATGTTCAAATATGCCTTAGTAATTTAAACAACTCTGTTGTAAGAACGTAATTTTTTTTTATTGAAACTTTAATTTTTATTTTAAAATGTAGTTAATATGCTAGTAGCAGTAAAAACACCCCGCAAATTAAGGGGGGGGGCTGTGGAAAAAGGCCCTGGAGAAAAGGCACGGAAAAAATCACTAAAAAAGAAAAGCACAAAAAGAGGAAAGAAAAACACCGGGAAAAGTACCACTGTCATAATTAAATGAATATAGTGACCGGTTCAATTAATACAACTAATAACGTTAAGGCAAAATTTAATATAATTAAATATTCATTTGATCGTAAATAGGTACTTTTTTTAAAATTAATTAATACTCGAGGATTGATCTGAATTTATTTTTAGTTGTTTATCTCCTACATTAATACATGTAATGTATCAAAAAAGAATAGTCTTAGTAATCTTGTGATAAGTTTAAAAAACAAATAAAAATATGAAGTGTACCATTTTATTTCAACTTTTAATTAAATAATTCCTTATTACAACAAGCACGATTATTATACCTCAATACAAAAAGTATAATTATAGAAAATTATAAAATTTTTAGAGCTTTTTTAGAGCTTCTTCTTCTTTTAATCATTTAGTTAAGATTTATTTTCCAAATAAACCTTGCTTTTTGATTATATTTTTTTTAAAAATTATCTATCTACTTACGATGACATTTTCAATTATATTGAATTCAGATTCAACACTCTGAAAAAATAAGGATAATTTAAAAATGCTGCATTGCAAAATGCAAAAAAAAAGAAAAAGAAAAAAAAAAAAACATTGTTTTATGTGTGTTTTTTGTTGCTAGAAAATTTTACCATAGTCTTAGGCCTGAGCGTCCCCGGTAAAAAGAAACTATAGAAATAAATATTTTCAATTTATGTTAAATTTATTAATAAAAATGTATTATTATTCTCTGACAAAATGAATTGAATTTCCTCCATTACAGTGCATTTAGTTCCTGATTTTAAGGTATATGCAATTTTTACCCAGTTTGCGAGCTTTATCAAAACACGGGTTTCATTAACTGTTTCAAATTATTAATTTATTATTCATAAGATTTTTGTGACAAAGATCGGCTTATTATTATTACTATTAAAGAGATGATCTATATCATTGTAGAAATAAATATTTTCAATTTGTTAAATATATTAATAAAAATAAGCTATTTTTCTCTGATAAAATAAATTTAATTTCCTCCATTGGAGTACATGCAATGATTGATTTTCAGACATATGCATTTCTTACACCGTTTGCAAACTTTATTAAACACGAGTTTTAATAACTACTTCAAACTATTAATTTATTATTCATAAGATTTTTATAACAAAGATAGACTTATTATTATTACTTTTAAAGAGATAAATTATATTATTCTAGATATAAGTATTTACAATTTGTTAAATTTATTAATAAAAGTATGTTATTTTTCTCTGACAAAATGAATTAAATTTCCTCCATTGGAGTGCATGCAATTATTGATTTTCAGGCATATGCATTTCATAAGCTTTTTTAAAATGCAGTTTTTGTTAACTGTTTTAAATTATTAATTTATTATCCATAAGATTTTGCGACTGAGTTAGTCTTAGTAATATTATTTTCCTTATTATTTTAGTCTTAGATATTTATTACTTATTCGCATAATGTATAACTATTAGCAGTTTTTTTTTAATAAAA